TCTTCCTCAACTAAAGTCTCACTGGTTATCACGAATTTATTTTCCATGATCTTTACTCAGTCAGTCTATGCATGGTTACTGAACACAGAAATTTAGATACTATATTACACTTATTCATCATCACAGGAAAATTCGTCTGCCTCCTGATAAACTAGGTTAATCAATAATTCAAACCAGTACAACTGTGTTATATCAAATTGTCAGACATCATCTAACAACTTAGTTAATCCAGACAACAGTTCACTGTCGCCATCATCCTTAAACACACCCTGAAACATTCCATCAGGTCCTGCTATCTTGTTTCGTCTCAGATTACTGGCAACTTCTGCGAACCCAGTTACAGTTGGAAGAGCGATGTCCACGTCCTACTCAGGTAAGGGTTGCATAGTGAGTTAATTAAGCATGGGTGTATACCAGTCATATTGCCCCTCAAAATGTTCTCTCCAAAGTTACAGTCTTCTATCGTGAGAAGTAATTAGGACTCCATTACCAGGAATCGGTTGTCCAATAAATTACTTTTTGCAACCAGTTTCCATAAATAGGCTTAAAAGTCTGCCTGTTTTCAATATAGAACTTTTCAGCAATGTCCAGCAGTTCAATTGGCTACACTCCCTCCATGTAGCACACAAATCAAGAGAACAAAAGTAGAAGAAATGCAGTATACAGGCAGCAAACAGGGATATGAGACAAAAGGAACAGTTATAACGAAGAACAATATAGTTTCATTGAAAATTATAAGTCACAAGAAGCGGATGCATCTGAGCTAGCCATTGACAACGATTTTGAGCCATATCACCAATTGTCTCCAGCCTTCATTGGTTTTTACCATCAATCCCGAGGAACCCAACCAGTCAGGAAGTCTACACCTCCCTACATGGCTGGCTGACTGACTGGCTTAAACTAACTTGTGGATTTCATTGACTGATGAAGTCATGTTTTGGTTTGACTACCACTAGCTAACTCTTTTCCAGCCTGATCCTTCCTGTCAGCTAATATTGGCCATTGTCGAGGAAGGCGATGGCTAGGTTACGTATGTGTAACACATGTCGTAACCATATCAGTCAATGTAGCTTTACAGCCTCGTCGATTGACTTCCCCTTCTTACTTGGCACTCGACCGAAGCCTAACTTCAGTATCGCTTACCCTATCATTCCACTTCACACGGGTGATAGAACGCAGGCACCTATGATACAAGACAGTTAGCCAGCATTTTCATGTCCTCCACTCTCAATAGCAAAGTCTCACAGCCATCAAGGAGGATGGACCGGACTTCTGTGTAGCACACGCCCTTCGGACGATAGCCGGATATCACGTCAAAACTAGAGACGGCGTAAACTGGCATATGCGCAACTAGCCCACTCTATCCGTGCTCAGATTCCGTCAGCGATCAACCCGCTGGCATTGGCTGATGCTACTTCCCAAATAAGTGAAGTGGTCAACTAGCTCCACCACTTTACTCCCTATTTCTAAGCTAGGAGTCAGTGTAGTCCAGGCGTGTTACATGATTTTACATTTGGCGGAGCGAACCGCATGCCGAACATTCTCAGACTGCAGCCCAACGCGTTCAGAAGACTCTGCTCTACTTTGTCAGCGTTAGCGTCCTAGCCTAGAAGGACTATATGATCTGCATATTCTATGTCAACGAGATTATTCCCCGGTGGTAACAAGTCAATCCCTGTCTCTGAAGTGAGTTAAGGTTAAGTCCATCAGTACATCTATGATGAAATTGAATAGAAATGGGGATAGTGGGCATCTCTGAGGGACACCACTAGTCGTCACCACTTCAGATGACAACTCACCGTAAGCCCTCACCCGGCCGCATGACTTCGAGTAGTGCCTTGATCAGCGACATGTATTTTCTCGTCATTCCCTTCACAGCCAAGCATCACCAGAGTACCTCTCCGTCGACTGGATTGAATGCTGCTTTCACGTCAAGAAATATGACGATTATTGGACGCCAGTACGTCTATGTTCCATAAGGGCGAAGATATGATTAATACATCCTCTTCCTTGTCTAAAGCCTGTCACCTCGTTCTCTCGTGTTTGCTCCTCCCCTGGGCCGCTTAGTCTACGCATGATTATTGAGTTTAGAACTTTAGATACCACATCAGTCAAGCTAATCCCCCCGTGATTATTACAGGAAGACTTGTCTCCCTTCTTACATATGGGGATAATCAGTGACTTACACCAACCCGAGACTTCCTCTGATTCCCAGACGCTGTCCAATACCTTAGTTAACGCAGACAGTAAACTGTCTGCACCGTAATAAAATACCTCTGGAGTCATTCCATCAGGTCCCTCAGCTTTCGCTCGTTTCAGACTAGTGACAGCCTTAGTAACCTCAGTTAGGTACGGAGGACATGTGTCTATATCTAATTTAGGGAGGTGTTGGATAATCGGTAAGTTGAGTGTGGCTGTAGGCTAACGAAACTGCTCCTCAAAATGTTCTTTCCAGAGTTCCAGTTGTCTATCCTGGGAGCTAATCACGGTACCATTTTTCTCAGAGATTGTTTCACTTTTGCTTTCAACCACTTGTTTCCCTGATAAGTCTAAATAGTTGCCTGGTGTTACCAATCACCGATGCCTTTCCCATCTCTTTCTCTTTTGTCGCCCATCACTTTTCACGATCGTTACGAAGGCTTCTTGTTAGTTTGCTTCAGAGATTTCGCTCCTCATGATAATTGAAGCTCGCCGGAAAGTGTCTTCTTGCGTCAATTAATTCGGATGAGGCGGTAGAGATCCAATGGCTCTTACTAACTTTTGGCTTTAGGTTATTAAGTTTTTACAGCTGTGTCTACAGCTAACTGTATTTTGTCCCAGGCTACCTCAGGGAAGTCCTGCTGTTGGCCTCAGATACACATAGCTATTTCTCCCTTAAATGCAGAATTAGAGTATCGATCTAGTTAGGGACCTAAACTTTTCGCTGCCAACAATTTCTTATGTCCATTTAGTCGTAAGCATAAACGTACGCGGACCAGAGCGTAGTCGGAGTCTACACACGTGTTCCAAAAGGAGCGGCAGTCTTCTACTGACCCTCACAACGATACCCTATCGCTAAGTGGTCTATCTATATGCTTAAATAGTGCACTAGTGTTACCTACTGCTGAGGTCTTTTCATTTCCCTTGAATATTTTCAACAATCATTGTTAACAGTTGGAAAGTTGTTAGATCAGCTTGCATTTGAGCAGCTTTCGTTGCTCACATTCGGAGCCCACCATAATGGGTCTTCCGAAGCAGTAGAAAATCCACTGGCATTTACTAACCTTTGGTTTTATGTTATCAGCACACTTTACTAATGTTTCTACAGTTAAGTAGATGTTATGCCAGGCTTCCTTAGGATGAATTTCGTTGTCAATCTCAGACACGTATTTATCTCATTCTTCCGAAAATATAGACCGTGTTTTCACATAGTTGCGGGCGTATAGACTTCACACCTACCTGCATCCTACCTCTGTTTAGATGTAGGCGTATATGACCACAGACTAGAAAGTAGATGGAATTTTCGTACGTTTCACAAGGAACGACAATCTTATAAAGAGTTACTTTGACAACTTATCGCTATGTGATCAATTCGAATCCATCGTTGATTTGATGAGAGCTGTGGGTAAACTCGAGACAACTCTAGGAATTATTACAGGAAAACATGGAACCGATCTATGATCATCGCGACTGCCGAAATGAGATGCCTAATGGAGCTCCATACATTATTTGCTACTTTCATACAATATAGAGGCTTCTTCCATATTTGAAGGTTAACATGGTATATAGATTCGCTGGCTAGAAAACAAAACCAAGTTTGAGTAGTACAAATTACTTACAACAACAAAACACGGAGCAAAGTTAAACTACTATAGCCAAAACCAGTGACCCTGAAGAACTAATCGGAATCCAGATACAAAAATGTCGCATAATCGTAGAAAATACACTACGAAAAATATTTGCAAACTTGATATTAAACTGTACAGCTGTAGTTTATGTGTTGTAGGAATGTCTCCTAGTCAACATGCAGATGATCTATAGAGAAATCTTACCATGCCCGATATACCCATTCATGGTCATGGTACCTTGAGATCCATTGATATTCATGACAACATTCTTCAACCTACTCCTAACTTTAACAATAAGCCTGACTTTTGATCCTGGCTTTAACCCTAATGCTAACCTTAATCTCAAAAGCCATGACCCTACTTAACAGTATAGATTTACATAAAAAGTACCTATATAATAAGTACATTACTGTACTTGTCCTCTCCAAGTCAAAAAAGGCAGGCATGGCTTGATTTCGAGTGGCATTTCATAGCATTCCTGGCGTCTGTTCGGTCCTCGAAGGTCAGCTTATGTAATACCTTGACTTAGGCTATGATACCATAACTTCGACGATAGATGAGCAAATCCACCATACAAAATACCTTCAGAATAGCGTAACAAGACTAACTTCGTACATCTACTCCAAACTGATGCAAAACAAGTCCTTGGGCAACTAAAAACATCCAAAACGAGTCACTGGCGACGAATTTCACGCAAGTCTTATTTTTGTCTACCGACATTCTCTCCTCACTTTTTTCATTGTAGTCTACATAGATTTTCCAACTTCTTGCTACGACAAGTGTGTGATATTCGAACTAATACTTAACAGATCTATGCTATTCAAAAAGTAATATGATATGAAGACAGAAGCAACCACAACTTAAGGGTTCGCAGACTGGAATTTTTAGAGCACAACCATAGTAGCCTATGAGCAGCATTGTAATGTGCAACTACATAATAAGAATCAGACTTCCAAATGAGGACAGAAGGTTTCAAGCCTATGTTAGCCCTTTTCTAATAAGTATCTGGGCTCATTTGAGACCAATTTCCTAATCCCTTTCGTTAAAAGTTAAATTTATACAATATACCTACTCAACTTATTTATTATACTGCTCCTCTTATACAATTTCGAATTAACTACTTTATACTACACACAAAACAAAAGGGTAATCAAAAGTATATGACTAACACACCAATTACAAAATACCGAGTTGTAACGCACACTTTAAACAAGGCGGGTTTTAATTGTTCTATTTCTGAATACTTATATTTTACAAACAATTAATACATCGTTTTATGATAAAGGTTTAGACGGACTAGACCTTCTTTTGCGCCTGAATATATCTATTCTTTTCTTTTTCTTAGGTAAATATTGTAAATCCGTATCCGCAGGTAAATAGTACTCATCGTAGCCAGATGGATATATGTCTCCGTAGTCTCTAACTGGTTGATTTAATGCATCCAAGTTGTTTCTGTACATTTCCTGAAGAATTCTTAGCCATCTTGGGGAGTAAATACCACCGTAAGGTTTCGATATAATATTTCTTGGCAATAAGTACTGTAATATACTTTCTGGTAGTATTATATAAGGCCAAAGAGATGATTGAAGGAGCTGTTGACTGAACCCTGGCATTGGAAATGATACTGGGAGACCTCCTGGGGTTATTGATGTTCCTGGTTGACCACCTGTCACTGGTGGCGCGAAACCACCTGTTGCTGGTGGCACAAATCCACCCGTTGTTGGTGGCACAAATCCACCCGTTGTTGGTGGTACAAATCCACTCGATACTGGTGGCATAGTTGCACCTGTTGCTGGTGGCACAAATCCACCCATTCCTGGTGGTACAAATCCACTCGATACTGGTGGCATAGTTGCACCTGTTGCTGGTGGCACAAATCCATTCGTTCCTGGTGGTGCAGCTGTGAGAGGACTTGCTGCAGGAATTTGCCCAGGTAAAGTGAAAGCTACTTGATTTTCAGTCGGAGGAAAAAACCCGAGAAAAGGTACTCTTTCCTGTGGTATAGTGGAAAAATAGTTATCATATCCATTATGTGATCTGGATGGAGAGATATAACCAATTACTGAAGATGCTGGTTGGATTGCTGAGACTTGACTTCCAAATGAATTATCCAGATCATCTTCATTTTTTGTTGTTGTTGACGTCGTTGTTGCCGTCGAAACCATAGTATTTTGCACAGGTGTAGGTACTTGAAACTGATCCGGCATTTGATCTAGCACAATAGATCCAACTTGTGTATTTTGATTAGAATCTTCTGGCATATTGCCGACTATTACGCTTGAAAAGTCCATTGTCGGACTCATTGCACCCTGTCCAGGAAATTCCATCTGCATTTGTTCATATGAAAGGCATATTGATGCCAGTATAACAGTTAATCGTATGATTAAGCTAAGAGTTCCTTTCACGAACATGACGTGTTATTTTATGCGAAGCCCACTTTAATCCACACTAAGTAAATTTATGAACTGTGTTCAATAAATCGATAATAATGTCTAGCATTAAAATCAGTCTGATTAATGTTCACCAACTGCCCTGAAATTACGATTGGTTGAAATTAAAAGTGATTTGATTAATATTTATCTAAAAATTCTGACTTTATTCACATTCAGACTGTTACAAACAAAAATGGAGATTTTAGTAATTCAAACTGGTGGTAAGAAATTGATTCATTCGAATCAGCCTTTTAGGTACTATTGATAAATGCTATCCTAAAAATATTGGAGGCTATGCTTTTGAATTTGGAGATAGTTATGCTATGGAAATTTGTGAAAAATATACCATAAGAAAATATTCGAAATTTCATCTTATCAAACCTTTTTTAAAGGACAGCTTAGAAATTACATCTGAAAATAAACTTGAACTGGCTAATTTATTGATTACTACTAAGTATAAAAAAGTAACCAATTAAATTCATTTTGAGAAGCACCATTCTATTCATTATTTTGTACTATTATTATCATTTAAAGATTCTGATAACCCATGGGACAGACACAATGATTGAAACTGGCATATACCTGACTGCTTTTGAAGATCAACTTAAAGACAAATTTATTGTGCTAACTGGTAAGTATGCTACCTATTTAAAGTTTTTGTTTACAAGTCAACAGTTAACAGAGGTGAGTGAGTTAAATCTGTCAAGTTATCACTAGAATAAATAAAATAGCTAATATATTAATAATGATATAACACTGCTGACAAAGTGAGTCGGTAGCACCACGGTAGAATGCTCACCAACCACGCAGGTTGTTCAGGGTTCGATTCCAGGCTGACTCACTCCTTTACCCCACTAAGCCAGTGATAAGACTAGTAAAGAGGGAAGGTTGGTCATCATGAGGCTAGCAAACACATTCAGTAAAAATAAATACCACTTCTACCGAAACTTCAAACCTCTAGCTTGAAACCGTATGTCCCAATGGGAACGTAAAGGAATTTTTTAAAAAATTTGACAGTAATTCCCAAAAACTAGTCAGCTTTTATGTTCAAGATGAACAAAATGAAAATGTTCAGGTTCCACTTTAGCTTTATCATTTGTTTCGTGCATTCGATTGCCAGAAAGAAGATATTCATCTGAATTCATCTTGACGATATATACGAATATCAATCGTTTAAGCCTCTATGCATGACACATTTCTTTACACCTTACTATTATTAAATATTATTAATATTAAATAAGTAAACACTATGTCTAGATTCATCAAACTACACCATTTATTTCACTACACATACCTAGGAATCTAAACATCTGAATATGCTTAGTGGTTTCAGTATAAAATTACTGAAGATAATCCCAGCGTGTTTAGAAAATCAGTGGAATCCGAATAATTCTACTGGCGAAAAGTTCAGAAGAGTCTTGTTCTGATTTTCCAAACACGCAGAGATTATTTTAACTAATTTTATCGTAATTTATGGTGCTCAAAATTATTCCAGGAAGTTCATAGCATCCATGGTCCAGATTTTTATGATATCTAATAGTTTATTTATTGCAGAAAAAGCGGTTTTTCCATACTCCTTCTTAGTTAAACACACTTCACGGAGGAATCTAGAGCTTTGAGTGCATGTCTAACTCCAACCTTAGAACTGACTGTAATGTTGAAAAAGTAGATACTAACGTTTAAAGACTACTGAAAATACAGTTTTTGAACATTATTTAAGTAGAAAGGATGAGTAAATCAGTAAAATATTTATGAACAACTCAGGTTACTTGTATGACTTATATTTATATTCTATGAGCATAGTAGATAAATAATTTATTGTTGTATTTATATGTATGTATATGTCTGAGAGGTGGGTGGAGGAGATATGTGTTTCTTTCTCTCCTATCTGATGAGATCACTTAGATGTGTAGATTCATGAAAGTCTAGATATAGAATATCAAAATGTAAATTATCAATCACAAATCATGTGATTACTGTGTTTAATACAATCAATACAATAGAATACGCCTACTGGCAATAAGACATGTTGGTAGGCTATTCAAATGTACATTAGAATAAATTTGTCCAAATACTAGTTCTCGCTCTCTCATAATCTTACATCTTTTGAATGACTTAAAAACATGCCATATACCACAAGCCCAAAATGTTCTACTTCTGCTCTGTTTCTACTTGTGAAAACTACACCATCCCTTATTTCTAATTTGTACTGACATATTCTAACTCATTAGCTTTATATATATATATATATATATATATATATATATATATATATATATATATATATCATATACCTTGGGGAAAATTATCCATTAAAAATTGAACTGATTTAACCTAGTGCTTAAAAGAAATCATTTCAGAGATATTACTGTAAAACATTTCTTTCGTATGAAAATAGATTCTAAGATAGTTTTTATTTCGAACCGATACTACTTGTCAACCATAGAGTACTGAAAACATGTTTCGTCCTAGTCGGCACTCTTCAGTAGTACTCAGTGATGACTCTTTTGGGAATCGAACCTTGGACTTCAAGGTTACTAGAGATCATGTTACCATTCAGCCATTAATTTTACCTTTTGTCAGTTCATTATATACACAGTAACTTCTAATCAGTATCATCAGTCAATACCTTACCTTACATATCATTATAGGGTAAATGTTATAAGTTTCCAGACCGTAGGTGTTACGAACTTCCTGAAATAATTTGAGCACCGAGTCAAATTGATTCATTATAAGTTATTTAAATTAATCCCAGTGTGTTAAGAAAATCAAAACAAGATTTTTCTAAACGTTTCGCTGTGTAAGAAGCCACAGCTTCTTTAGCAGATTTATTCAGATTTAGCCTACAAAGCTTATCGCTGAGTGAGTTTGTAGGTTTAAATACCACTTTAATTCCGAATAAATCTGCTGAAGAAGCTGTGGCTTCTTACACAGCGAAACGTTCAGAAAAATCTTGTTTTGATTTTCTTAACACACTGGGATTAATTTAAATAATTTATAATAAGGTAAATTTATTTGATAAAACTATACAGTGATACAGTATAATTTATTGATAACGTTTCAAGCACAATTTATTGCTCATTATCATGTCAAAACACTCACATAACTTTTCACTCTCGTCTATATAATTCCATTATTTTTTTAACGTCTTGGTTTTGTTGGTAATAATATTTTCAATATCTCGGTAATTGGTGTTGCGTCATCCTAGTTGTGCGTGTTAGATGTAGATTCGATGAACGAGGACTCTGTTACTAATCTCTCTCTCAACTCAATAATATTACTTTTTAGAAGTATAGCTTTGTCCCACCATATTATCAGATTGTGTGTTAATACAAGCACTGCGACTGCTGAGTTTTTCTCTACACTATTCATCTTCGTGAGGGTAATCATCCTAAACTTAGCTAAATTCTTATGTTTCGATAATCTGGCTACCCTCAATCTAGTGGACTGACCTATGTATCTGATCCCATAGTCATTCCTAAGGTATTTTGTAGATTACATTATTTTATCTATTTGGTTGAATAGGGACCCTTTAGCCTACAAAGCTTATCGCTGAATGAGTTTGTAGGTTTAAATACCACTTTAATTCCTGCTTTTTTAAGAGTAGTACGTAAGGTCTTGAATGCGCCTTCCTTATATGGTGAAACTGTAGATGCCTTTAATTACTCCTTATTTATATTATGGTCAATAGTTCCACTGCTATTTTTCCTTTTGTTGTCTTTTCCTTTTTTGGTCTTAATGATATTTATAGGATAGTTAATTAGCAACAACGCTTCTTCTCTCTGTTTCCCTTGATAATTTAGGTTTTCTGACGTACTACTCAGAGATATCACTGATCTTCTCAGACACTTAACTAATCCTACCTTTACAGATAACAGATGTGATGCCTTAAAGTTTGAATATCTATTAGAATGCGTTGGCTGTTCACAAACATTAGTGCATAATTTATCTTCTTCTGTTCGTTATATTTTTCAATCTAACTTAGTTAATTCTCCTTGTTCATTTTCTGAATAAAATGTAAATTTTATACCCACTACTATTGAGTTTATATATTTGAAGGAACTAAAGGTATGTTATGTTTTTAATACTGTGAAAGTGTCATCCAGATATCTCTAACATATCTTTCTGGTAGGATTAAGTGTATTAACAGCCATATTTTCCCAACTATCCATAAAGATATCTTCTCTGACTGAGGATATTGCTGATACTATATTGCCATCCCTTATGTTTGTCTATATATATATTTTGCCCTGGAATTTGAAGACAATAGACTTAAGGCATAATATGGATTCCTAAAGTAATTTCGTCAATAGGTAGCTTTGTCCTATGAGTTAGTTCGGGATCAGTGGTTGGTTCTCTTCTATCTGCTTCCAACTCCATATTGATTGGTATGTGTTACTATAGGGACTTGTTTTATCAAAATTAACCATGTTTTTGACTATTTCATAGTTGAATTTTATTTAACTTTTTTTTATTTCACATAAATCAGTTAACCTGAAGTTTAAACGATTTCCGCTGGAACATAATATATTAATTTTAGGCGTTTAAATAACTCAAAAGTAGGAGTGTTTTTAAAATCAGCTATTGGTCTTATGGGAAAACCTAATTTATGCAGCTTGATAATAGCATAGATCTTACTTGGATTATTTTTATATTTGTTTTCATACCCAACTTGGTTGACTCCAATAGTTATGATTTCTCATCTGAACTCCACGATGTCCGTACTGCAGTCAGTCGTTAATGGGCTGTTGATTGATTTTCAGGTGTTGATATATATGGATGGGATTGATGTCAAAGTCAATTTCATCACAAACTTTCATCAGTTGAAATAAAATAAAATCGATAAAATCCCTACAAACCAACCACCTGAAAAACTGGTTACAGGATTTCATCATGAGCTGGCATTGCTTAGAGAGTCATTGGAAAACCTGAGAGTACTGGACAGCTGTTTCGTCCTAGTTCGGGACTCTTCATCAGTACGCAACCACCGACAGAGTTCGAACCCAGGACCTTCTGGTTACAAGGCGAGCTCGTATACCATTAAGCCACTGGGACCCGATCCAATGATCCTTGAATTCTAACTTCTGCCAATTCACGACATAGCACAACCGCTAACCAATGTCTTCGGCGAGTATTTGTCCTCACACCCGACCGACTGCACCCTACTGGTCACGACTTCCCACTGGAACCCAGGTAACTACCTACCTGAATAGGGCCAGTCGCCAGTGAGCATCTCATTGGTATTTAAGTGTTGGTTTGTAGGGATTTGGTTCACCTGCTCAGTTGATAGAAAAATAGATTTGATAATTTACATAATGATACAGTGTCATATATATTTAATGATGACATTTTGTTCATAAGCTTATTAAGGTACTCAGACAACTTAATTCGACCGTATTTATCGACTTAAGTGAACCATTCAATCACATTGACATAAGTGTGAGCAATAAACTGTGCCTGAAAAGTCATCGTTAAAAAAGTTATACTTAAAGGAATCGAAGAAGTAAAGGAAAAAAAATAAAGAAAATAAAACATTGTGAATAAACAACAATGAATGCAAGATTTGGTGTTTTATGGCTATTCACTATAGTTTCTCCTGATTGGCGTTACGTCTGTCCTCATCAGTCTTGT